GATTGGTCTTCTGGGATATTGGAAGGCTGTGACTATACCAGAGGAGTTTGTTCTTGGGCCGCCATGCCTGGGCAAGGGGTAAGGTTCTACTGTGATATCACATTTAGTTTGTTTTTTATTTTTTTTTAAATGGTTTTTAAACTTACTATTGGAGTTATACTGTGTAGCCCAGATTAGCCTGGAATTTGGCCTTGTACCTCCACCTCTTGAGTGCTGGGATTATAAGAGCATAGACTGAGCCATACATATCCTCCTGCAGAGCCTGGGCCTGGTGGACAGGAACAATGAGCCGCTTACCCATGCCATGTACAACCTGGCCTCCTTGCGTGAGCTGGGTGAGACCCAGCGCCGGCCATGTACCATCCAGGTGCCCGAGCCCATCCTTCGCAAGATAGAGGCCTTCCTGAGTCATGTAAGAGTCCTGCCTTCCATCCCACTGTCTCCCTCTCCAGACTGAAGGCTGCTTCTGCCTACGACAGGCGTAGGAAATGTTTTTTCCCACTGAGCAGGGAGCCTTGGAGCCCCCTGGCCCTAAGTCCCCTAGTCATGCCTCTGAGGGTGTCAGGGCAGTCACAGCCCAAGTTCTCCTCTGCTCTGTGGGTTGGGCCCTAACCATCTGACCCCAGTGAATCCTTTGGAGGGGCTGACTGCATGGAGGAGGAAGACAGGCATTTCTGTCATTTTGCTTGCTTCCTCGTCCTCTAGTACCCGGTGGACAGTTCATGGATTTCCCCAGAACTCCGGCTGCAGAGTGATGACATCTTGCCCTTAGGCAAGGACTCAGGGCCCTTGAGTGACCCTATCACTGGCAAGCCATACGTACCCCTGTCAGAAGCGGAGGAGGTACGCTTGAGCCAGAGCCTGCTAGAGCTGTGGCGGAGGCGGGGGCCAATTTGGCAGGAGGCCCCCCAGCTACCTGTGGACCCTCATCGGGACACTATCCTCAGTGCCATTGAACAGCACCCAGTGGTGGTCATCTCTGGGGACACAGGCTGTGGGAAGACCACTCGCATCCCTCAGCTGCTGTTGGAGCGCTATGTGACTGAGGGCCGAGGTGCCCGATGCAATGTGATCATCACGCAACCTCGCCGTATCTCAGCTGTATCTGTGGCACAGCGTGTCAGCCATGAACTGGGACCCTCCTTGCGCCGGAACGTAGGCTTCCAGGTGCGCTTGGAAAGCAAGCCCCCAGCCCGAGGTGGAGCGCTGCTCTTCTGCACTGTGGGTATCCTGCTGCGGAAGCTGCAGAGCAACCCCAGCCTGGAGGGTGTGAGCCATGTCATTGTGGATGAGGTCCATGAGCGTGACGTGAACACAGACTTCCTGCTGATTCTGCTCAAGGGCCTGCAGCGGCTCAACCCAGCCCTGCGGCTGGTACTCATGAGTGCTACGGGAGATAATGAGCGCTTTTCCCGCTACTTTGGGGGCTGCCCTGTCATCAAGGTGCCTGGCTTCATGTATCCCGTCAAGGAACATTACCTGGAGGACATCCTGGCCAAGCTGGGCAAACACCAGTACCCACATCGGCATCGGCACCATGAGGTGAGAAGAACCCCAATACACACCCCAGGGTCGCTGGGCTTTCTTTTATGTTCCTCCCTCTCTTTATGATAGAGTGCCTTACCTTCCTAAGCCTGTTTCCTTGATAAAAAATTGGGGAATAATCAGCCCTGTTTGTGTTGCAAGTATGTGAGGACTGGAGCTTCATCCCAAGTAAGCTCCCTTCCTCACCGTCCTTTGCTGTGGCTGTGACTGGTCTGTCTCCCCACCCCAGTCTGAAGATGAATGTGCCCTTGATCTGGACCTTGTGACTGACTTGGTTCTGCACATCGATGCCCGTGGAGAGCCAGGTGGGTGCTTTTCCCGCTTCTCAGTTATTTCCTTTCCCTACCAGCTGGATCAACCAGCTTATGGCTGCAGGGCCTTTTACAGGTGGAATCCTGTGTTTTCTGCCTGGTTGGCAAGAAATCAAAGGAGTGCAGCAGCGACTCCAGGAGGCCCTGGGCATGCATGAGAGCAAGTACCTCATCTTACCAGGTGAGTCTGGGGAGGCCCAGTAGTGAGTCCTGCCTCTGCCAGTCTGTACTCTAGTGGCCCAGGTTTCTGACTGTAACATTTTTCCCTGAGGGTGTAATTTATCAAATGGCTTCAGCTTTATCAGGGCCAGGAATGGGTGGGGAATCAAATTTCTTGTCCTGCTCTCAGTCCGAGATTCTTTCTGCTAGAACAGTGCCTATAGTCCTTTTGCATCTTGCTACCCACCAGTGCACTCCAATATCCCCATGATGGATCAGAAGGCCATATTCCAGCAGCCTCCACTTGGGGTGCGTAAGATCGTATTGGCCACCAACATTGCCGAAACCTCCATCACAGTTAACGACATTGTGCATGTCGTGGACAGCGGTCTGCACAAGGAGGAACGCTATGACCTGAAGACCAAGGTGGTGCCTCTCTCTTGGACCCAACCCACCCAGTGAGGGAGGACTTGTGAAGTTGCCCCTAGTCCCGTTCTGCTGTAGACACTTTGTTGGAAGGCTCACTTAAAGGGAAATGTCCCTGTTGAGGGGTGATGAGGGTGACTGGTGAAGTGGGCAGACAAGGCCTGCAGCATGTGTAGGTTTCCTGCTTTCTCCCAGGTGTCCTGCCTGGAGACGGTGTGGGTGTCGAGAGCAAATGTGATTCAGCGCCGTGGCAGGGCTGGCCGCTGCCAGTCAGGTTTTGCCTACCACTTGTTCCCAAGGAGCCGGCTGGAGAAAATGGTTCCTTTCCAAGTGCCAGAGATTCTGCGCACACCTCTTGAGAACCTGGTGCTGCAAGCCAAAATCCACATGCCTGAGAAGACGGTGCGGCAGAGGCGGGGCTGGGGAAGGGATTGCTCCTGGACCAGGGCAAGTGGGACACAGGCTCATGGGGTGTGGTTCTTGTTGCTATAGGCAGTGGAGTTCCTCTCCAAGGCTGTGGACAGTCCAAATATTAAGGCAGTGGACGAGGCTGTGATACTTCTCCAGGAGATTGGTAAATGGGGCTAGGAATGGTTGGGCTGTGGAGTGGTTCATGGGTGGAACTGACAACTGAGCTGTTGCAGGGGTTCTGGACCAGCGGGAGTACCTGACCACCTTGGGGCAGCGCCTGGCCCACATTTCTACGGACCCACGACTGGCCAAGGCCATAGTGTTGGCTGCCATCTTCCGTTGCCTGCACCCACTGCTGGTGGTTGTTTCCTGCCTTACCCGGGATCCCTTCAGCAGCAGTTTGCAGAACCGGGCAGAAGTAGACAAGGTTAGATCCTATGGCAGAGCCCTCTTGCTGTTTATCCGTACCCCACTCATTGTCCTGGACTAGGCTCTAGTTATTCTCCTGACCCCTGTACCTTCCCTCCCAGGTGAAGGCACTGCTGAGCCACGATAGTGGCAGCGACCATTTGGCCTTCGTGCGTGCTGTGGCTGGCTGGGAGGAGGTGCTGCGTTGGCAGGACCGTACCTCCCGGGAAAACTACCTAGAAGAAAACCTTCTGTACGCCCCCAGCTTGCGCTTCATCCACGGTCAGCCTGGCCCCCAAGTGGGCCTTCCTGAGCATCTCCCACCCGCAGAGCTCCCGTCCCCAGCCTTGAGGCAGGGCCTCTGTTCACACTCCGCTTTGCCTCCCCAGGGCTCATCAAGCAGTTCTCAGAGAATATTTACGAGGCTTTCCTAGTGGGAAAGCCCTCTGACTGCACACTGCCCTCTGCTCAATGCAATGAGTACAGCGAGGAAGAGGAGCTGGTGAAGGGTGTGCTGATGGCTGGCCTCTACCCCAACCTCATCCAGGTGCCTCCTCTAGGACAGGGAGCTGACCAGGCCCACCTCTCTCCACCCCAGCCTCTTGCTCATATTTTCCTGTCCCTTCAGGTGAGGCAAGGTAAGGTGACTCGGCAGGGGAAGTTTAAGCCCAACAGTGTCACCTACAGGACCAAATCTGGGAACATCTTGCTGCACAAATCGACCATTAACAGGTGGGTGGCCCACAGGAGAGGAAGGGCCTCAGATGATGGACAAAGGTGCAGCATCATTGCATTCCACAACACTTTGTTCCCTAGGGAGGCCACCCGGTTACGGAGCCGATGGCTGACGTATTTCATGGCTGTCAAGTCCAACGGTAGCGTCTTTGTTCGAGATTCCTCCCAGGTTCACCCGCTAGCTGTGTTGCTCCTAACAGATGGGGATGTCCATATACGCGGTGGGTACCTCTCTCTTCCACCACTCAAAGGCCACCACTGGCTCCTGGCCTCAGAGGCATGATCAACATAGACTCTGTCTTTGCCCTTCTCCAGATGACGGGCGCCGGGCCACCATCTCACTGAGTGACAGTGACCTGCTGCGGCTAGAAGGTGATTCACGAACTGTGCGACTGCTAAGGGAGCTGAGGCGAGCCCTAGGCCGAATGGTGGAGCGGAGCCTCCGCAGTGAGCTAGCTGCACTTCCGCTTAGTGTGCAGCAGGAACACGGGCAGCTGCTTGCACTGTTGGCAGAGCTGCTGCGGGGACCTTGTGGCAGCTTTGATGTGCGCAAGACAGCTGATGACTGAGCCCTCTTCAGCTGGGCTATGTACAGAGTGCAAATGTTTATTTAAAATAAAGTTATATTTATCCCTTGTGAGTGCTGCTGTCCTCCCAAGGGCTCCTTTAAAGACACTGGGCTCTTGGCTGGCCCCAAATTAGGGGGGCAAGGCAGATACTGCTCAGATACAGAGCTGGCGGTGGCTAAGGGAAGAAGTCCTAAGGAAGGAAGGGGCTTAAAACTCTACCTTTCTAGAGTGAGACACCGCAGCTGTCAACACATTTCAGCTGCTTGGCTGGTCTCAGCATTGACGAAGCTTCTCCTAATGATACAGCACAGAGCACTTTTCTAGAAAGCCGTGATTTATGTGAGAGTCCTATAGGGAACCTCGGCCACACCCACGTCTCACAGATGAGGGAAGGGCTGAAGGTACAAGGGGACTAACATGACAACACAGACTGTGGTGGGATGTCAGGCAGCTTTATTATTTAAATCAGTACAACAGTTACAGACATGTAATGGCTAAGCCATGAGCAAACTAAAAATACAGAAAGATCTCATCCCCAGTCGTTGCAAAGTATACACGTCACATCCACAGTCCCACTGTGCCAGATCAGCCTTCTGAGGTTCTCTCTGACTTGTGGGACCAGTCCAGGGAGCTAGACCTCGTAATAGTCTACCTAGACAGTTTGGGCCACCCTTCCTTTCTCTAATTTCAGCATTTTCAAAGCCCCTGGATCAACATCAAGAAGGGTAGCAAGTACCTTTATGCCCTCACCCATCAGCACCCTGGTCCCCACTATTTCCTTCTTCCCAGTTCCATCTTGCCCCTTGCTGGAAAAGAGGAAAAAAACAAAACAAAACAAAACGCCAAAACCATACTGATCCTGAAGGCTGCATGCAGCCTTCTACAGAAAGCCTCTCCCTGACTCAGGCAGTCCTTTTGCCACACGCCCCTACAATTCCTTGTGTGTGAGTATGGAGAGCCAGGGATTTGATGTCAAGATTTCTGAAAAGAAATTGCTGCCTCAAAAATGGAGAGGAACTTCAGGCCCAGGGATGACTTCCTTGGCAGAGACATAATACAGACTTGTACCTGTTCAGGCTGTACCCAGAGCAGAGGTGGATGCCATGTCAAGAGGAGGGCCAAGAGGGTCAGATCTGGGTCAGCCTCCTAAAAGGCAAATCTGCGCAGCAGAAAATGCCCCACGAGAGGAATCCTTAACACTCCCAGGCCATTTCACTACAAACTTAGGTTTGAATCCTTTATTAGAAACCATGCAAACTTTAATACAAAAAATACAAGTGCAATAAGAATCTTGTGTTGATAAAATTCCCAGGATTTTCTCAGTATTGCAGTCACCCCTCCCATGGACAGACCATGCGGGGACAGCTGCACCACCACAATGGGCCTGGCCTCTCCTGCTTCTCTCTCCAGTCACACCACAAGAGAAGTGGGATGGCCTCAGTCTCATGCATTTAAGTTTTAAAATCTCCACACCTGATTCCCACTGTTCACATGCATTCTGGACATCTCAGGCTCCCCTGGATATGAGGGTTTGGGTGCCCTGGCCTGCAGGTGCAGGTCAGGGATTTTGACCTTCATTTCTCCTTCTCCGGCCCTGGTTTTGTATCACACGTTGACCACTGGATCCAGGGAATGCAACAGATGCCAAAACCAGCCTCTTGGTTAGAAGAAAAACAGCAGCATACACACAATGCCAGCAAACCAGTCGCACTGGCCGCCCCAGCTGTCTGACTAGGCAGTAGCCCTGCTTCTCACTTTCTTCCCACAGGGCCCCAAAGCTGCCCAGAATAGGCAGCCCCAATGTCCAACAGCCTCCTTAGTGGAGACTCTGAGCCTCTCCCCCTGCTTCCCTCACCACATACTGAGAACTCTCATTTAGACATGGCTTCAACCTGCAAACTACACCACCAGCTCATAGGTTATTAGGAGGGGAAAAACTAATACAAGAAGAAAAGCGAGACAGCAGCTAATTAGGTATGCTAAGCGGTAGGAGCAAGGGGCAACTGACCCCTGACTAACTTGAGACGGGAATAAACAAGGGCCTGGTACCACCTACAGGGTGGCTTCCACCATGGGGAAAAAGAGAGGCAGTGGTTTAGGTTCCAGGGAATTCGGTCAGTGCTGGTCACCTCCTGGAGTTCATCTATACTAGTCCCCCCAGGCTGAGCCAGGGAAGAGAGGGAGGGTTTGTCAGTTTCTGGGAATCCAGCACCCCACTCCTACATCCCACAGAGATTCCACTAGACTCCCATCCCCTCCCAATGTTCTCCACGGAGCAGTGGTGCAGTGGTGGGATAGTAAAGTTGGAGCTGGGCCCAGAAGACGGCGAAAGCAGTGAAGGCAGGGGTGGGGGCGGCTGCTGCTGCCTTGAGCAAGCTAGGCAGAGGGAAAGAGGCCTAAAGGGCTGCCCAGCACCCAAGCAAGAGCTTACAAGTCTAGTAGACAGCCCGGGAAAGGGAGCCCAGGGCCCGGGACCCCAAGCTTGGGCAGCCAGGGAAGTGGGGAGGCCGGGAGACAATGTCAGCCCCATGGTCGGTGCGGGCCCTGGCATTTGCCCGGAACGTCAGCCTGTAGGTCTCAATCTGCAGTGACACGTGAGGAGGGATGGGGGAGGGCAACAAGGGGAAGACAAGAAAGGGAACACAGGGGAGATGGAAGACGAGACCAGAATGTCATCATTAGATGCCTGGAAGATAAAAGGTTACTTTGTTAAATGTTAGACCACACTCCAGTCATAAAACAAAGGAGTTTCAATTTTCAGCCAGTGACAGGGCCCCTGGCTGGCCCTTAGGCCAAGCCCAGCCACTTACTTGTCTCCTGGATCTGGCTGTCCAAGGTCTGGGGCTCCCTTTGGTCACCACCCCCTGACAGGGTGGTGTGGCCACTGAGGCCACTGGCTGAAGTAGGGGCGCCAGCGTCAGGCGCAGCCTCAAGGACGTCGGGCTCCTCCCCAGCAGGGGGGCCCGGACACGGAGGGGCCTCATTGCCACCGCCCTCAGTCTACAATGAAACAGTGGGGGAGACAGTGAAGGGTCAGTTGGGGAGGGAATGGGATGGGTGACGATGGCGAGGTTTCATATACAGCCTTCCCAACCCAAACCCTTAGCAACACCGGCTCTAACCAGGTTCTTAGACAGAAGCTGGTGGTGGGTTAATGTCAATCTCACCAAGGTTGATACCAAATAAACCACGGCTAAGACAACACCACCAGTAACCCTGAGGACAACACCAGACTAAACCTGGCTGGGAAATAGGGGTGCCCCCTGCCAGACCAGAACCAGTGCTTAGAGCACCCTGGGCAACTAAACAGACACCCTGCCTGCTCATCTGTGTGGTAAGGTCCCCTCATGGTACAGCATCTTTTATGCTGGGCATCGTTCTCGGCACACGGACACAGAGGAAGCAGGAAGAAGGTATCCAAAGAGGTATGAGCCAGGAACATTTATCTCAGGGCCTTATGGACCCAGGAGGAGAATATGCAGCATGGGTCAACCAGACCAGTGGGAGCTGAGTGTCCCAGAAAGTTGACAGTGGAGACAGACAAGCAACAGATAGGGGGAATAAAGAGGAAAAAGTAACATAAAACTTGGCACAAAAAAGCCAGTGTGTCATCCTTTTTTTCCCCCTAAGACAGGGTTCTTTCTCTGTGTTGTCCTGGCTGGGCTGGAACTCTCTTTGTAGACCAGACTGGCCTCGAACTCTGCCTCCCAAGTGCTGGGAATCAGGATGTGTGCCACCACCGCCCGGCTGAGAAAAGCCTGTGTGTGAATCTTAGGGTACACTCACTTCCTGTTGTGACGATTAACCAGACCCCAAATCTGTAATGTCCCACTCAGACAAACTGAAGTCTGGTAGGTCAAATTCTAAAAGCAAGGTTTCCCAAAACATTAACTGAAGTGGATCCAGGGCTGGAACCAGTGGATGGGAGAAAAACGAAGCTGTAAATAGCCCAGCACTCAGTGTGAGTAGAGGAAGCTGCACAGACCTTGGCTCCTGCCCCTGCCCATTTTCCCTGAGTATCAGCAGCAGCTTCATGCTTGGGAGCCTGTAAGGCTACTACCTGTGCAGGTCTCCCCACCAGCCCATGACACAGAATGAGGGACAGATGAAATCTTAGCACACAAAAGGTCTCACAGTACTGTGGAAAGAGGTGGGAGGAAAGAGGAGAGGCCCAGCCAATGTCAGCTATGAAGTTTGCCTTGGCTCTGAAGCTCTTCCAGAGTCTGGGGTAGGGGAGGCCACAGCAGGACCTCTGTCTCTGGCAGCTACAATGACAGCCAGGGAACTGTATGCAGAATGCCAGCTTACCTTCTCAGCTGTGTCCCAACCCACATTCCATCAGAAAATGGCTGGAACGTGACCCAAAAGAAAGGCCATAGCTCTCAGGAGCAGACACTGCCACCAGCTGAGAGGTGGCTGGGGCTCTGCCTCCTCTGCCTCACTCTGGACTAATGATGTGATGGAGACAGCAATGGTGTGACTAGACATGTGACTTCTGAAGAAACTGAGGGGCGGTGACAGGCCTGCTAAGCCCCACTAGAACTGCTCGGGCCCCATACCACTCTAGCTATATCCTGGTGACCCAGTCACTACCTTCACGGCACCTCCTGCAGGCAGGTGGCCCACGTTATCGAGGGATCCCACTTTGGCCTGGGCCTTCTCCTTGAAGTTCAGCTTCTGACTTTCAATTTTGACATCTCCTCCACCTGAAATGACAAGAGCTAGTCACTGAGGGTGGCAGAATACACCTGCAAGCAAAGCCAGGAGCCTAAAAATCAGAGCCTGGTCATGGGCGGCTTTGTGTCCCTTCTAGAAACAAAGAAAATGACCAGACCAGGTCCAGGGTGATTCCGAGGACAAAAGAGACTGTGGCAATACCTCGCTTGGAGGAAGACTTCTCTCAAACAGTTAGTGCAGGCCCAGCCTGATGCTGCCTTTTGACTCTCCAGATCCCACAATCTCCTAAGTATCCCATCAATCTTGACTCTAGGTGACAGTATACTGACTGTTTGAGCCACTGAGTGAAAGAGGGAACAGTAAAATACAAACGGAAGGCTCGAAGTATGAGTTGAGAAAAGGCAAACAGGGTCCAGTGCTTTCCGGCTGGGAGCACACTGCTAGGCTAGGGCTCAGGGGAATGGTGCACCAGGCAGGAATGACCCCCTGATCTTGCTGTCCCTTTCCAGGTTCCCCACTGTAGAGCTAGCCCTGGCAACACTAGGCCTTAACTCACTTGGTGCCATTAGGGCAAGAGCTATCTCATAAATGAATTTTACAGATAAAAGGGGAAGGGGCAAACAATTAGTTAAAGACCACATTGTTTGATTTCCACTAAAGAATGTTCTAAATTGGATCTAACAATTTCAATACTTGAAAGGCTGGGGGCTCCATTTGTTACCGGATCTGTGATGAGTCTGAACCACCCCTTCACTCCTTCGACACGAGCTCCCTGCATGCTAATCTGGGAGGCTGGCCCAGGCCAACAGCGCCAGGCACATAGCACACAAGATTGTCAGGGACAGGATGTAAATATCACCAAGGGAACAGCTGTGAAAATGGTCTTAACAAACTGTTTCTCCTCCAATAGAAAGGCAGAACCCAGCTACTGTCTCTGCCATGGTTGGAAAGCTGTGTTGTTTCTATCAGGTACACTGGATGGAAGAAAGAAGATTTTTTTCTTTGTCATGTGCATGTAGTGTGCATGCATGTATGTATGTACAGGTGTGTGGGTTCACATGCTCATGGAAGCCTGAGGTTAAATGTCATGAGACTTCCCTGCAGGGTCTCTCAACTAAAGCCAGAATTCACGAATATGGCTTCTCTAGTTTGCAAGCTTACTCTGGGAAGACTGTCTAACCTTCCAAGCACTGGAATGACAAGTTAGCTACTATGCCCAGTGGGCATTTGTGTGCATTCCGGGGAACCAAGTTGAGTCTTCATGTAGCATGCACTTTAATCCCTCACTCCAGAACTGGCTCAGACATTTTTGTTTTCTTGTTGTTGTTTTTTCAGGGGGTGGAAGTTGATTTTTGGTTTATGACACCACTGCCAGGTTCTGGCTCAAAGATGTCATGAAATCTGTCACAGTCAGAAGGCCACCAAGATGACCTCTGAAGGGTCACCTCCCCCAGGGAATCTCAGCACAACAGGCAGGGTCACTCACCAGGCTTGTGCTTGATATTTGCTTTGGACCCACACTTGGAGGAGACCTTGGAGATGTCCACTTTCTTGTTTTGAATCTGAACCTAAGCAGAAGAACAGAAAGCAAATACCCTCAGAGAGAAGACACAGGTCATGGATGCGTCCAGCCTCCATGAACTCCCTTAGTTACCTCCATCTCAGGGCTGCTCAAGCCAAGGCCACCTCCTATAGTCTACTGTGCCCTGCTCTTAGCCCTGACCCCACCCCCAGTACCCAGTCTTCCTTTACAGCCTCCAGAGCTGCTCCTCTGGACAGGTCACAAACATCAACATCAAGGTGCTCCTAAAATGTCCTTACCTATCAACTCTTTGTCCATAGAAACTTAGACTAACATTGAATTTCCTTCATGCACTTTTCAATGCATGTTCCCCCAAACAATTGCACAGCCATGCATGTACGTGGCTCTGGACTCTATGGGCTTCATTACACAATCAGTCTCCCAGGAAAACAAAAGTGCACAGAAGGGCCACACAGTGATCTGTGCTCTGCTGCACACACATCTAACACATGGCTACTGCTCAGCACTGAGGTGATTTTCTATTGCCGCAAAAGAATTATCTTTAAAATGTCGAATAAAGTTAGCATTAATGGCAAAACACTTTTATGACAAAAGATATATTTTTATTTTTGTGTTTGATTATTTTGCCTGCATGTTCTATCTTTGCACCACTTGCATATCTGAGGCCCACAAGGCCAGAAGGAGGAGTCAGTCAGACACACACAGACACACACACACACACACACACACCGTTGTCAATTGTAATGTGGGTACAGAGAATCGAATAACCACTGAACCATCTCTCCAAATTCCACCTGGAACATTTTACACAAACAATAAGTAATGCCATAAGACAGCAGTACCCTCAGCTAGTAACATATATTTTGTTTTGTTTTGAGACAAATTTACCTTTGCCTCAGCCTCCAGAGTGGTGGGATTACAGTACCATACATAGGGGAAGTAGTTACTTTTCAGATTGTAAATGTGCTTCCTAGCCATGGAAGGTGTAACTGTATCAGGAGTACTTGTGCTTTTCCAGCAGTCAGGGTGCTGCAGGCACATTCCTGGGTACCCCTAGAGTCTGTGCCCAGTAGGCTGCTTTGACCATACACAACTTGCTTTCTTGCTTCCTTCAGGCTTCCCATAGGCTTTCATTTACAAAAATAATCAACATAACGAACTCTCTGACAAGACCTGAGCACACTATGCAGACTGTGCTGCGCATGCCTCTAATCCCAGCACTCCAGGAGACAGAGGTAGCTGGAGCTCCACAAACTCAGCTGATGGCTGATGGAGAAAAGCCATGACCTGTGAGTCATGCCAAAGGTGGGAGGAAAGATGTACACTTAATCAGCTTAAAGAAAACTGTAGAACAAACACATACTAAATGAAACGTAGGCTACAGACAGCACAATTAACATTCCATAGAACAGGGACTAGGGAGATAGCTCTGTGGGTAAAGGTACTGGCCATTCAATGTAAGAAATGGAATTCAAATCTTCAGCTATCATATAAAACTTAGATTCATAGCACCAGCATCTGGAATCCCACAAGTCACACAGAGGGAAGAGAGAATCCCCAGAATTTCCCCAGTCTGTCTGGACTGTTGACAAAGGTTTCTATCCTACCTGGTCCTGCAGCCATTCATTCCAAAGAAACACACAGAGGTCTATGTTAATTATAAACTGAATGGCCTATTAGCTCAGGCTTCTTATATACTCTTACATCCTACATTAACCCATAATTCTTGTCTGTGTCAGCCATGTGGCTTGGTACCTTTTATCAGGGAGGCATTCTCATCTTGCTTCCTCTGTGTCTGGGTGACGACTAAAGACTCAGCCTTTCCTCTTCCCAGAATTCTCCTGTTCATGTTGCCCCACCTATACTTCCTACCTGGCTACTGGCCAATCAGCATTTATTAAAACAGTACAAGAGACAATCCATTGTCCCATAGTAGTAGGCAGCAGATAAACAAAAGACCTTACCTCAAACATGGTGAAAGAGACTCATCAAGGCTGCCCTCTCATCTCTACCTATGTGCTGTGTCTTGAATCCCATGCCCACCTGCCATCCCCCCAAAGATGCTAAATCAGAACAGCAATTTATTTGCTGTCTCAAACACAGATACACAGACACAGACACACAGACACAGATACACACACACACACCCCAGAAAGTAGCTTAAAACAAGAGAATTACCTGTAGAATGGAGAAAATTCTTAAAATGAAAGAAAAAGAAGTCAGACAGCGGTGACGCATGTCTTTAACTTTAATCCCAGCATCTGGGAGTTTTGGTTTATTGACTTTATTCATTTATTATGTGAGACACAGTCTTTCTATGTAGCGCTGGCTGTCATGGAACTCGATATGTAGACCAGGCCTTGAATCAAGTGCTGGGATTAAAGGAGTGTGTCGCCCCATCAGACTCCCATCTATTCCTTAAAGAATATGTTGGTATGCAACCAATCAGAGACAGACATTCTACCCTGCTGTATTCTGAGTTTTCACAGGCCATGGCTGGTGTGACATCCCCCCACTCCAATACACACTGTTAAAATGAACTGCCCACAGGTCTGAGCACTTACTCTCCCTCTCAAAAGGGTGAAAGAGAACCCAAACTGCCATAAAAATCTTCAGTTAGGACTAGATACAGAAGCAGCTGAAACACAGGACAGAGGAATGCACAACTTTTCCTTTCCAATGTCTCTGGATATGCAGTTTCGGAACATCTGGGGAGTACTATGCCTGTGATTCTAGTAGTAGGAGGTAGATACAGCGGAAAGCTAAGTTTGTGACCCTGTCTCTAAAAGAAAAATAAGTAGATGAAATACTAACTATTCATTGCTCTGTGTAGCGTTTGCACCACAGTCTATACACTGCATAGTCTGCTGTGATCTTCCAGGGTTGCCTAGTTTTGTTTGGGTAGGGTAAATGCACTTTTTAGGAGGCTATCATGCTGGGGATGAAACATATGACCCCACGACTGTGCAAACACTTTAACAGATAACTATTTCGAAACCCCAAAACACTAAAATTTGTTGCACACAGAAGTAACATAATTCCCCAAAATTCCTGTTCACTCACATTTCTATCCAGGCCAAGAACCCAAAAATAAAAGCTACTGGCATCAGTGCTTAATCCGGCCTCAGAGCCTGACTCCTGAATTATATATTATTTTTCAAAGTCTTCTTTTTTATTAAAGATTTTAATTATTTATTAAGCATACAATGTACTGCTGGCAAGGAAGGCACCAGATCTCATTACAGACCGTTGTGAGCCACCATGTGGTTGCTGGGAATTGAACTCGGGACCTCTGGAAGAGCAGCCAGTGCTCTTACCCTCTGAGCCATCTCTCCAGATCCATCTTTTAAAGTCTTAACTCACTGCAGCCGACCTCACCCCACACCGCTAGTAAACTGCCAACCATCAACGGACCTGGTACACTCTAACCTACTGCAAAGCATGCTGAGTCTGCCTTAAAAAAAAAAAAAAACACTGAGTCAGGTGGTGGTGGCACACACCTTTAATCCCAGCACTCAAGAAGCAGAGGCAAATGGATCTCTGTGAGTTTCAGGCCAGCCTGGTCTACAGAGTGAGTTCAAAGACATCCAAGGCTACAGAGTGAAACCCTGTCTTAAAAACAAAACAAAAGAACCACAGTGAGTTTTAACTGGGAGGAAGTATAAGCAGGTGGTTGACTAGGGGAACACTCTGGCTGTATTCCTCAAAATAAAACTTCTGGGGAGTGTTTGCAGAGCTGGGCAGAATGGCCTGAGTATCTGGGGGAAGCAGGTGTGCAAAGGAGAAAGGAAAGTAGAACACCCCAATTCAGGGTGGTGAACTGAAGACAAACCAACATGGGCCAGTCTCCCTTGAATGGGAGGTAAGGGCAGGGGCCATGTAGGTGGCCCAGTACCATGCCCCTGGTACAGCTCTGCATCTTCCACTTGCCTAGACACCATCACAGGAACAAGGAGGAAACACCCACTGAATGGCGATGACCCCTTGAACTGTTTCTCTAGATCAGAACCTCCCTGTGAGCTGTAATCACCAGCACCCCCAACACATGCAGAGAGTTAACATGAGCAGCGCTGTGATAACAAGGAGGATGTTTAGATGGAACAGACAAAAAGAAAGGGGACTCAAAGGAGAAGCAGAAAGAAGGCAGGCGAGCAGAAAGAAAGAGAACACAAAGGAGAATACAGGTAGAAGCAAGAGTAGTAGGTGAAATGCTAGTGAATACTAATTTTGCAATGTCAAAGATTCAAGCGCAGGACAGGACATGGGTAACTGTCTCAGGTCAGGGACTCCCCCAAGGGATGCCCGGGCACACAGCCAAGTCTGTACATCCCAAGTAACGATAGCTTCAGCCCTCAGAGCAGGTCTCTAGCTTAGCCTCACACACATGCTGGGGAAGTGAGACTATCCAAATATCACTAGCCATGTTTTAGGGGATCATTAAGACACCCACAAAATATATACAGGCCTCTAGCTCCCATCACTTGGCAGAACTGCTTCTTGGCAAGAGCCCAACCCAGGCCACTTGTGATCGTGTCCCATGAGGGAAGGCAGCCCTCTTGCCGGGGTTCCCACAGAGGCTACACCTCATACACCAACTGACCACAGCTTATACTTACATTGCCACCTCCAGGGACATGCTTAATATTGTCCTTGGAACCACACTTGGATTGAATATGGCTGTAGCTCACTTTTTTGGAGACTATCTGGACCTGGAGTGTTAGACAACAGAAGGAGAGAGAAAGAAAAAAAAAACAAAAAACAAAAAAGACAAAGGGAGAGGGCCAGTTAGAACTTACACAGAACAGGTCCACATGTGATCACAATGTCAAAGAGCACCCTTAAACCACTGTACACAGAGTCTTTGGAAAAGGGGTTGAAAAACAAAGGAGAAGGAATGGGAAAGAAAGAAAGAAAGAAAGAAAGAAAGAAAGAAAGCAAGCGACGAGAGAAGCTACACAGTGACGTGCGGCTGTCCTCACTGCTCCTGGGCTGCGCTTGTAGTTTCTAAGACACATACAGCAACAGGTCCCAGATGCCCAACACAAACATTGCCCCAACTTCTTCTCCAGGCCCTCCTCTGGAGAGTGGATGCAAGGTCTCTTGCTCTTTTCAGCAAGGCTATTGATGCTCTGAACTAGTTCCCATCTGGGTCCTGGAACTTGCAGCCAGACTCAGCCCTGGAAACAAAAGCTGCCCTAAGAATTGTTGGGCAGCTGGCGAACGGCACAGATCTGATAACAACAGGAAGGAAGACACACTGTTCATATAAAAAAAAAAGGCAAATGGTCACAGAATCCTGAGCCTGACACCAGGGGAGCACAAGCCACAGACTCAGTAGCTGGCACACTTCACCCATCTGTTTCAGGCTTTCAAGAACATTATGTGATGTATAAAGAGGGACTTTACATTCATGTTTTGTTCGTTTGTTTGAAATAGGTAACTCCTTCACTACGTAGAGAAGCAAATTCCTGATTTTCCTGTCTCACCAATAACACTGCTGGCCCTACAAGCAGCAATCTGGCTTTATACTCCTGTGAATACTCTAGCTACAGAATCCCGTGCCCAGTGAGTTGCATGTATAAACAGAACAGAAGAAAACAGTGCTACAGAGATGTACAATTCAGGGGCACAACCATGCTGCACTGCAATACCCTTGCCTGAAACTGGGTAACATATAGACTTCTTCTTTGGTTCTCAATAATAAATGCTTCCAGGCCCTTTCTTCCATCTCCCTCTCCTCAGAACTAGAAGATCTGTGTAAATGAAATATGCTGTGTTGTCTACAGAACACAGAGACCACTGTGAGGAACTCTAATTCAGATACCTTACCATGTTCTTTTCATTTCTTAACTCTCATCAACTCCAACAGTGGATTGCTGTTAGTAAACTAGAGTGAGCTGGAAACCATGGGACTAGAGTTATTTTAGTGATGAGCCACCACAAGTTACAATGCAGCTACCATTGTCTCATTACCCCCATCCTAGCAGTTCCTGGGGTTGACAGACTACCTATCTTGGTCTCTAAGGGCCAGAGTTCAGGCAACCCAGCTGCCTGCTACAACAGGTAGCACAAGACTATTTGTCAGTGTGGAAATCATAACAAAGCTGGGGTCTTAGTTTCCCAATGCCCTTCAGCAGACACTGCAGTTTGGGTTTAAAAGGCATCTCCAGGAAAGAAAAAAAAAAGACCCAGGACACAGTAGCAAGTGTTTTTTTTTAAAGGTCAGAAGATAGGGGTGGCAGGGCTCTGGGCCACTGCTTTGTCTTCTGAGGAAGAACCTAGGAATGAAGGATGTTTGCATACTAAATAAATGAGCTTCAATGCCAAGGAAGTGACTGACAGTTTGCAAGTTCCCGTCATCAGGTTGAGTAAGTAGCCCCCAATGGGGGATGAGCTCACAACTTGGTTAGCTTTCAGGGTTGATATAAAAGTTGTCTGAGGGCTGAGTCACTAACTAGAGGAAGGAACACAGGAAGAAGCAGGAGCTAGTTAAGAACAGGAGCAAAGCAGAATAGAAGGGAAAATGACTCAGGCTAGAAGAATGATGATTCTACCTCAAAGAGGTAGACCTAAGTAAAACTCACTTTCCCAGCAGGCGGTCTCTGCGCACTCGCAATGGAGCCAGCTGCTCTAGTGACTGCATTAGGTTCGGGCTTTCCAGCTGTGGCAGCTGCCTCTGTTTTTTTCTCTATTTTGGCCTGGATGGAGATAAAGGTGGGGGGGGGGGGGCAAATTTCAAACAAAGATGAGAGCCCAAATGCCAAGGAAGGAAGAAGTTGGGATGAAGAATAAAACATCAATCAATCAATCAAACAAACAAAAAAACCAAAAAAAAAAAAACAAAGGCTGGGATGCCAGGCAGAAAGAAGCAGGTCAACCTTGCCCCTAGAACAGCACACTCCTATGCTAGCTCCTCAGAGATCCCTGAGTAAGGTGCACAAGAAGAGAATCCATGGCCAGACTGAAACAAAGAGGAGATCATGCATTTATGGAGAGAAGGATCAAAGGCTAAGATCAAACTGGTGCTTTTTGTGAGCACGTGTGTGAGACGCCATCTTGACTTGAACACTCTGCTCTCTAAGCACTGGTCATGGCCACCAGTGATGGTGAGCATGCCATTCATCAGGTGCCCTTCAACAGACAGCCCAACCACTAGCCCGAGTTATTTAGAACCTCTTAAGCATTTACAGCAGGAAAACTCAGAAGAACAAAGACTGGGAGAAGGGTCACCTGTGGCTCAGTCTAGACATTGAGCTGGGTGTCAAACCACTGTTTACCAAAAGTGACTCAGGCTGTCATCCCAGAATGATCCCAGTAACATCAGCCAAACGAACCATGATTCTGCCTTCTTGTTCCCATTCTTTTTTTCTTTTTAATTCTATGCCTGATGCCCACAGAGACCATAAGAGGGCACTGGGATCGCTGGAACTGGCGTGACATAAAACAGGTTGCGAGTCACAGATGTGGGTTCTTAACCACCAAGTCATCTCTCCAGGCTCCCTATACTCAGACTAGTCCAGAGCTAGCAAAGGACGTAACTGAGACTAACTGCTGCCGGCTCAGGTGAACTTGGCTGTCAATCCTTCCACATTCTGGGTTCCCAACAACTGCTAACACTGAATGCATCAATCTGTGATCACGCAACCAGAATACTCTTTTAAAAAACGTCACTTATTGTGCATGTGCATGTGTGCATATAAACACTTGCAGCACATGTGTGGAAGTCAGAAGAAAACCTGTAGGAGTCACTTTTATCTCTCCATCACAGAGTTTCTGTAGATCAAATTCATGCTGTCAGGATTGGTGGTAAGTGCCCAAAAAAGGCAACATTTTTCTATGTAGTCTTGAAGCTTTCTATGTAGACCAGACTGGCTTCAAACTCAAAAATCCTCCTGCCTCTGCCTCCTCCTGCTAGAATTAAAGTTCAGCTACAACACCCAACCTCAGAACTTTATTACTGTGAAGATTCAGTTCACTTCACAGCAGAGCTTCCTTTGAACACCAGAGGGCACCTCAGTTTCCTTTCAGACGGACTCAAATAAGTGTGTTCATGAACTGGGCTCATGTCCAGTGTCTCTTACCCTCATAGCTTCTGAAGCTCTCTCTCTCCCTAACCACTGTAGCAGTCGGCTCTCATTATAGGCACACATTATAGTGTGCTCACATCCACAGAAGACTCTTTCTACTTCCCAATGGAAAATGTAAACCCAAACCCCAACACACTGAACAGAGCTCTTTGTATCAATATGGAAAGAGAAGGAAAGAAAAGCAATCAGCCCAGGCTACCCTGACATTGTAGTGCCAAAAGCCAAACTGGAATACCCTGGTACTGAATGCAAGGTCCTAAAAGGCCCTTTAGGTGTGAATGTGGCAGAAGAGAAGTAGAAGCTAAGATCCCCAAGCTCCTGGACTCACCCGGCCCCCTCCAGGCTGATGCTTGATATTTTCTGTAGAGCCAATCTTGGAGCGAACATTCTTCAGATCAGGGGCAGAGGCAGTGGTAGCCAGGCGGCTCAGCCTGGGTGCAGAGGAACTAGGCTTAGCTAAGGTAGGCTTCTTGTCCACAGAAGGTCGGGCAGGTGCAGATGTGGGCTTGACTCGAGTGGATGTCATCCCTGCTGGGGATGCTGCCCCAGTGGGAGTGGTGTTCCTCTTCACAGAATTGGTAGAGGTGGTCTTTGAACGACTCAAGTCGGCTGCAAAGAAATGAGAAGTAGGAGGAGTCCATGGGGAAAGAGGGGAGGGTAGGTTCGTTGGGCTTCCTGAGGTGAGCAGGTATTACCTGGTACAGACTTAGCAGTCATCCTTTTGACATCAACGGGTTTCCCCTCAGTCTTAGAGGCTGCACAAACAAAGTAGCATATTTAACAAGATGACCCAATGAGATCAGAACCCATCTGACAACTACAGATGCCCCCTTTGAGCCAGTGACTGTACTTGTTTCTGTGACACAGAAAATTAAATAGCCAATGAAGACTCACAGTATATAGGACAGTACTGTATCCCACTTTCAACAGTTCCAATAATGACTTATGCAAAGAGTCTTAGAAGTATTTTATCAGCCAGGTGGTGGTGGCACACACCTTTAATCCCAGCACTCAGGAGGCAGAGGCAGGCAGATCTCTATGAATGAGGCCAGCCTGGTCTACAGAGTGAGTTCCAGGACAGGCTCCAAAGCTACAGAGAAAAACCCTGTCTTGTAAAACCAAAAGAGTAGCTTATCCGATATGCCTATAATATTAAATTAGCCTCCCCCCCCCCCGCCTCGCATGATGAAGACTGAACACACTGGAAAGCCCTACTCACCTCCCACTGGTTACCATGGCAAGGAATACTATGCAGTACTCACAGGTAGGCCTTTTCGGCAAAGGCGTGGCAGGACTTCTACTGCTTGGCCCAGTTGAGGGAGATGTGGTTTTAGGGAGAGTTGGGGTGGTTTTAGGTCCAGGTCTGAGGGCTGGGGTGGATGCAGGTTTGGAGGGTGAGGTCCGCTTTTCAGGAGTCTTAGCCTCTGTAACTGGCTAAAAATGGGAAAGCGGAAGTAAGAGCTACAGGTCAGTGATGGCCCCACATGGTTTTATAAGAATGCCCAGAAAATAGGGGATGATATGGACCCTGCAGTGAGTGACATGAAAATACACGGTTCTCAGTCAGGCACTCCAGATGACTTTGGAAAGGTGTTTGATGCTTGTGACATCACTTGGCTTAGGTGAGAAGACTGCTATGAGTTTGAGGTTAGCACAGGCTACACAATGAGTTCCAGAACAGACTTGTCCACAGAGTGAGATCACAAAATAAAAACAAAACAACAAGAAAGACCTCAAGACCAAGTGGCCAGGTAGGGAGCACTGTGTTCTAAGGTTAGGAAATGGGAGTCAATCTACACCAATCAGTGGGAGAGATAACCCCAAAGGGCGCATCTTACCACAACCTACTTTTACTGGAAACTTTAATAGACATAAGAATCAGAAGCTAAAAGTTATGTTTAGTCATGCTTTTGGTTAACATTTACCCAGAACAGTGGGGCAGAGCATCACTTTTTTTTTTTTCTTTTTTTTTGGTTTTTCAAGACAGGGTTTCGCTGTGGTTTTGGTTCCTGTCCTGGAACTAGCTCTTGTAGACCAGGCTGGTCTCAAACTCACAGAGATCCGCCTGCCTCTGCCTCCCGAGTGCTGGGATTAAAGGCGTGCGCCACCATCGCCTGGCTCAGAGCATCGCTCTTGAAGGTGAGTAGCTACCGGTCAAATCTGAGCCAGAACCTGAGCTATAACCTGAGTCTAGTTCCTAAGGGAGAGTGTGCTCTTGGGACGATCACTGAGTCCCTGTACATTTACTTCTTTATCTGAATAAGGATCAGAAGATAGCATTGCTGCAGCCCATCTTTGATGATGTGGTATTAGGGAGCTAGAAGACAGGAAGACAGCAGAGAAGTGACAAGAAGGGTCAGGCCTGGCCCACATCAGGCACAGGATAATGTTCAAATGAGGGTCAGTTAGAAATTTAGAACTGGAGAGGGGGGAAACAAACCAAAAAAAAAAAAAAAAACAAAAAACAAAAACAACCCAGCTCTGTCTACAGAATTAGTTCCAGAACAGCCCTGGCTATATAAAGAAACACTGTCTCAAAATAAGAACAACAAAATTTCAGTTGGTATCCTATCAAAACTGCCTATGGACAATCTCAAAATCACGGACCTGTATCCTTTTCAATTTGCTCTGAAGTTTCACTATAATGTCTTTTAGACTTAATGTATTTTATGTGTATGAATTCTGTGACTGAATACATGTACATGCAGCACATGCATGCCTGGTGTCCATGGGAGTGAGAAGAAGGCTTCACTTTTCTCAGAACTGAGCAGATGGTCTTGAGTCACCATGTTGGTGCTGGGAATTGAAACCAGGTCCTTTCAAAAGTTACAAGTAGGGCTGGAGAGATGGCTCAGTGGGTAAGAGCACTGTCTGCTCTTCCAGAGGTCCTGAGTTCAATTCCCAGCAACCACATGTTGGCTCACAACCATCTGTAATGAGATCTAGCACCCTCCTCTGGCGTGTGGGCATACATGGAGGCAGAATGTTGTATACATAATAAATCAATCTTTAAAATAAATATTTATTAAAAAAAAAAGTTACAAGTAGCCTGGCGGTGGTGGCACACGCCTTTAATCCCAGCACTAGGGAGGCAGAGGCAGGCGGATCTCTGTGAGTTCGAGACCAGCCTGGTCTACAGAGCTAGTTCCAGGACAGGCTCCAAAGCCACAGAGAAACCCTGTCTCAAAAAACCAAAAAGAAAAAAAAGAAAAAAGAAAAAACAACAACAACAAAAAAAAGTTACAAGTGCTCGGGGCCATCTCAGTGCTGAGGCTGGAAAGATGGCTCAGAGGTTAAGAGCACTGTGTGCTCTCTTCTGTAGGTCCTGAGTTCAATTCCCAGGAACCACATGGTGACTCACACTGTAATGAGATCTGGTGTCCTCTTCTGGTTTGCAAGCATACATGCAGGCAGAACAACACAATTAATTAATAATTAACTTTTTTTTAAAAAAAAAAAAATAAAGAGCTGGGCAGTGGTGGCGCATGCCTTTAATCCCAGCACTCGGGAGGCAGAGACAGGTGGATCTGTGTGAGTCCGAGGCCAGCCTGGTCTACAAGAGCTAGTGCCAGGACAGGCTCCAAAGCTACAGAGAAACCCTGTCTCGAAAAACAAAACAAAACAACAAAAATACAAACACACACACACACACACAAAAAGAAAGATTAAGCTACAAGTGCTCTTAACCACTAACCATCTCAGCAGCCTGAGTGTGTGTGTGTGTGTGCGCGCGCGCGTGCGTGCCTTGATCATTTATGTGTAGGTGCCCTACCCATTGTGGATGCTTTGAACCAAACCTAGTTCCTCTGAAAGAGTAGCATGCATTCTTTAATCCTCGAGCCATCTCTCCAGACCCTGGTCAAAAAATGATGACCAGGCAGAGCACGGAGACACCCATTTTTAATCCTAGCACTCAGAAGGCAGAGGCAGGCAGATCTGAGACCAGTCTGCTCTGTGTAATGTGTTCCAGACTTGCCAGAGCTATACAGTGAGACTTGGTCACAAAATAAAACTAAACAAAACCATTTTGAGGATCAAACCAAACATCATGACAATGATTAAGAAAAATCTAGGAGAGTCCTATTATTTTGCTAGTAGAAGAAACGATGAAAAAATAAGTTACTTGTGGTACAAATCACTGAAGAGTGTGACATCTGTCTACCAGACCTCAGGAAGTTGCGGGGACAGACTGCCCTTTTAGCCACAGTTAAAATGTTGGTTCCCATTTTGTTTTCTAAACAGGTTTTCCTAACTCCAGTTTGCTTCTATAAATCTATACTTTAAGGGCAATGGTGGTTTAACTAGACTTTAGTATACCATTCTCTTAAAGTATTTTAATCTGTCTTTATCTGAAAGACAAACAACAGGAACACCTACAGTCCTGGCCCCTCTTTTAAACTATGCAGTTCAAATTAGCCTCGACCAGCAACCCACATGCTGGGCTTGGATAAATATATGCCCCCATACTTAGCTACATGTCACATTCTTAAGTCGGTTGCCTATAAATTGCTGTTGAAACACCACATAGTAAAAAAACATAAGAAAACAGTGTTGGGGGTTGGGGATTTAGCTCAGTGGTAGAGCGCTTGCCTAGCAAGCGCAAGGCCCTGGGTTTGGTCCTCAGCTTCAGAAAAAGAAAATAAAAGAAAGAAAACAGTGTTGTAGGGGTCCAAACATCAGAAATGGGGTTAGACCTAGGCTCAAACCTGCCTCTGTCACTTACTGGCATGGATTTTATTTAGGAAGGCAACTTGATTGAGTTTAAGCTTCCAGAATTAAAAAATAAAGCTAACAATATTTATATTATGGATGGTTGGGAATGTTCAAGGAGTTATATGTATCAAGAAACTAAAAAGAAAAGAAGAAAGAAAGAAACTATAAGTATAGTTGGCAGTGGTGGTTCAAACCTTTAATCTCGCTCTTCCAAAGGTCCTGAGTTCAATTCCCAGCAACCACATTGTGGCTCACAACCATCTGTAAAGAGGTCTGGCGCCCTCTTCTGGCTTTCAGACATACAGACAGAATATTGTATAATAAATAAATAAATTAATTAATTAATTAATTTAAAAAAAAAAGAACTGAGAGATGCAGCAGCCAGTGCTTCTGCCCAGAAGAAGAAGAGGAAGACAAACCTTTAATCCCAGCACTTGAAGGGATTACTAAGCTCAAGGCCAGCCTGATCTACAGAGTTCTAACAACAGCCAAAGCTAAAGGGCAAAAAGAAAAGACTTGTATACAACAGTTACACATCTCCTCATCCCTGTTAGAAGACTGTTTATAAAGTCTTAGTAGGGACCCACTGCCCTCATTGCCAGTCACCTTCCTTCTTCCCTCTTAATTAAATAGTTTCCTAAAGATCTAGAATGGGAGCCAACTGGACAAATAAAGTTCATAAATAAAGTTTTTTTTTATATAAATAAAGTTTTATGAGACAACATCATTTCTAGTCTAAGACAGAATTTCTCAGCTTCTTAGCCAGGGTTTCAATTTTGGACTACAAATCCTAGAGATGCTTTACAAGATTAAAGTAGAACACTACCATGTTAACTTGGGATTAGTTTCCCACCATGAATTTAAAGACACAATAGGCTAAACTCAAGGCCCTTCTCAAATAAATAAGAGCTCAGGGAAGGCAGCAGCAGCCACAGCATCCACCTTGCCCTCCTCCAGAAAAATTAGGAAAGCCAAGTGCCAGGACACAATGTGACCTGGACAGATGAGCATCACAGGTAGCCCAGTGATGAATGGCCAAAAGCTGAAAGCAAACCAAGTTGTCACATGATCGATCCTGGATCGTGCTGAGCTCAGCTGGAAAGGTCAGCACGTTGCTAAGTAACAGAAAAACTTTATTCTGCAGGATGATTAAAGAGAAAGGCAAATAGGAATTATGGTCCACCCCAAACAGTATCTGATAAGTCTGTGAAGTACAAGAAACTGATCAAAATATATTAGTAGGTGAAACATAAGGAACAGTTAAGGAAAAAAAAGAAGCTGGGTGGTGGGGGTGCACACTTTTAATCCTAGCACTCAGGCAGAGGCAGTAAGATATCTGAGTTCTGAGTTGAAGCCAGACTGGTTGACAGAGCAAGTTCTAGGACAGCTAGGGCTATACAAAGAAACCCTGTCTTGGAAAAAAAGGAAAGAAAAGAAAAGAAAAATTAAAAAGGAAGAAGAATGAAGTAGATGAAATACTACTTCTGATCAGGGCAGACAAAGGTAAAAAGGATAAAAGGTTTTGAAGTGTTATGATCTCACCACTGGGCACCCAAATGACTTTCAAAGCACCTATTTCCTCTCTCCTTTCTCAATTCTATCAGTTCAGCATCTGTAGCAAGGGCCTAGCTATTGATCTGAAACTCAGAGAAGGAATCTTTTCCTGGCATAGCAGAGGGGTAGCTGCTTACCTTTGGTTTCACGTCTCTTGCAGGTAGGGTGGAAGGCCTGGCAGTAGCAGTGGCAGCAGCAGGGCGTTTGGGTGGGGCAGCTGGCACTGAGCCTGAAGCGAGGCTCATGGGTTTTTTATTCAACCCACCAGAAGTGGTGGGAGCTGGCTGCTTAGGGAGTGTAGTGGACTGTGTTTTGACTTTCGATGTTGAAGTCTTGGCAGGCTGAGTGGTGGCCAAAGGCTTTAGGTTGATGGTTGTTTAATTTTTAATTTTGAATTTTTAAAGAACATCAAACACACAGACAAGAATAAAAACAAATTAAAATAAAGTATAAACTGCAGAATTCAAAGTAAATTATAAGCAATGAGGATTGATGCAACTGAAAATAAGCATTCCTTTCTTCTGAGCTCAGTAAAAACCAAAGTGATATCAAGATGGAGATAAAGAAACCATAATTTTTTTTTCTTTATTCTTAGTTGAACCCAAGGTCTTAGGCATGCTACTTCTGAACTATACCCCCATGTCTGTGGAAATGCTTTCTTAAATCACAGCACCACAAATTCCAGCAGTGTGATTCCTAGACAATTAATAGCTTTGTATTAATTAACTTTTAGTGGCTATAAGAATTCTATTAATAAGCCAGGTGGTGGTGGCGCATGCCTTTAATCCCAGTACTCGGGAGGCAGAGGCAGGCGGATCTCCGTGAGTTTGAAGCTAGTTTGATCTACAAGAAATAGTTCTAGGACAGGCCCCAAAGCTACAGAGAAACCCTGTCTTGGAAAAATAAATAACAAAACAAAACAAAACAAAAAGAATGCTACAACTAAAGCCATTAGCAAGTGATTAAGTCATTGCTGGCTAGATCTTACTTCATTTAGGAAAAATAGGATCTCGCTATATTACCCAGAGTGGCATACAGCTCCAGATCCTCTAGCCTCAGTTTTCCAGACTGCTGAGATGACAGGTATAGGTAGTACAACCTGCTTTTCGTACCTATGTCTTCACCAGACAGCTTAACTAGAACTAAAATGTGCCCCTATGTTCTATCTGAAAACCTTCATTTCCTTTTCACGAGCAGATTTTAGAGTAAGTCTAAAACTGCTTTCTGTTGTTAGTAAGAGAAAAGGAAGTCATTTATATATCAACTATGGTGGATATATCAAGACCTGGTCTGAAAAAATCTGCTGTGCTTGTACTTAGGAAGTACAAGGCCATCAGGTCAATCTTTAGCACAGACAACAAACAAATATCTAACAAACATTTTACATAGATATACTGTGAAAGTGCAAAGGCAGAAGATTTTAACCTTTGGGATAGGCTGTATGAGAAAATGAGAATATCCTTTTTAAGAACATCTAAATTTGAAGGAAGACAGGATAGCTCAGAAAAAAAGAAACTGCATTCATGATTCAAGCAATAACAACAGAAGGTCCTGCTTTTAAAAATTACAGAAAAGGATAACCACCATTCATTCAAGCACCTACCTTTGCTTTCTTTTCTGGGCTTGGTGGGAGTTCCTTGTTTGGTGGGGTAGAGATGTCATTTCCTGACACACCCACAGCAGTCTTTTCTTCTTCTTGCCTGGCTATTCCTACAGAGAGTCAATGGGAATTAGCCTAAACAAATGTGTTTTCACAACCATTTTAAACATAGAAGGCTTGGCTGAGAGCCCTGCAGGGCGATGCTGCTGAGGACGTCGGCCTGCGCACCCCAGATCACAGCAATTCTAGGAGCACTTCTGTGCTCAAGCAAGCGGAGGAGGAGTCCCCGTGATGACTGGTGGGAGAAAACAGCCTTAAAAGTTTGGTCTCTTTTCCCTTGACACCAACAAAGAGCTTCTATCACCTAAACACCTACTCCCTGAAAACAAAGGGGACAAAAAGCCCTTCTGCTATAGTCTATCCCTGGAATAAAGGTTGCTGAGATGGGGCAAACGCCAGCTTATTTGATGTCTGGCCTTACTTCCTTTCCCTCTACTGTAGAGAACCACTTACAGAGGATGAGATTAGGCTGCTCTAGTTCTAACAGTGACCTAGATTTCCAACACGGCTGAGACCCACAGAAAATAAAAGTCATCAGCCTAAGCTAGCAAAACTCCTCTCCATAGGGGAGATACTTCAGATGCTAATAAGTGTTACCTAATAGCGCTATGATACTAAGAAATGTGGAGCCCTTATGTGGAGAAGATTTTCTGACCGGTACAAAACCTGGAACCACAAAAAGTTTAAAGAAAAGCAAAGTCATAAAATCCAAAGGCAACTGCTAAACAAAAGAAGATAATTGACCCTTACATCAAATACAAAGAGATTATATAAATAACTCCTACAAATCAGGAGTCCTGTTTTGTAAATAGATCTCAAGTAGCCAGGATTGGCCTAGAAATCACTACATATATGAAGATGATTCTGATTTTCCTGTCTTCACCTTCTGAGTGCTGGGATTACAAAGTTGTACTGTTATCTTTATGTGATGGCAACCTAGGCTTTGGGGATGTTGGGTGTGCATAGTATCACTTGAGCTACAGGCCCTGTATTTGCTTCTTTTTTTTGAAGACAGGCTCTCATATAGCATATGCTGGTCTTGAACTCTTGATCCTCCTAATTTAATCAATTGAAAGATGTGATTACAGGCCTGAGCCATTATACCTAGGCCCAGTTATCACTAACTCTTTTAAGGTCAACAATTCGAAAGAAAACGAGTCAAAAGTATACGAAAGTAACTCCTAGAAATACTAATGTCCTTTGAAAACATGAAAAGGTGAGCCAGGCACAGTAGCACATGCCTATAATTCTAATAATGGAAAGATAGTAGCAGCTAGAGTTCAAGGTCAGATCTAGCTACATAGTGAGTTTGAGGACTGTCTGGGCTATATGAGATGTAGTCTCAAAAACCAAATAAGGGTGAGTTCGAGACCAGCCTGGTCTACAGAGCTAGTTCCAGGACAGGCTCCAAAGCCATAGAGAAACCCTGTCTCAAAAATAAAAAAAAAAAAAAAAAAAAAAAAAAAAAAAAAAAAAAAACCAAATAAGGACTAGAGAGATTGCAAAGGTTAAGAGCACCAATCTGTCTTGCAGAGGACTTAGGTTTGATTCATAGCACCCATGCTGTGGCATATAGATCAGGTTCTAGTGGATCCATGTGCATCACATACACATGATACATAGAAGCAAAAACACCCATGAAATAAAAATAAGCAAATCTTAAAAGCAGAAAGACAAAAAAGGTGACATTTTCTATCTTAGATACTCTTTTCTTGCTATTATAAGGACTTTCAGAATTTTTAAAATAATGTTTTGAAATTCATTGCTTTGTACCCTTGCTCAGTAGTTGCTGTTAGTACTGAATGTCAGTACTAATAGCAACAGAGAGAACCGTAGGATAAACTACTAAACTTTTACTCCACTTACAATCCTTGATGTACCCCATTTTGACTTTCTGCAGAGGAACTTAAGACTTGCAAATTCAAGGCCAACACACAAGTGATGAGCTATATTTTGAGCACCTAACTCCACTTTAAAATAAAATGTACTATGGATGTGAAGATAACACAGTAGGTAAAGCAGGTATATGGAGACCTGTGTTTGGTCACTAGACTCCATGGGGAAATGCCTACTTGCAATTCCAGTGCTGGGGAAGTAGTGACCAGCCAGGTAGTCTATAGTCCAATGGTGAGCTTCAGGGCAACGAGACCTTGTTTCAAAGGAGGTGGACGATATTTCTGAGGATGGCACCTAAGGTTGTTCTCAGCCCTCCAGCCTCCACACAAATATGTCATATGGATCTGCACACACACTAACAGAGGCATAAAAGGTGTCAGATTTGTTTCTTGTTCATATTTTAAGCCTCATAAGACATTAGAATTTTTGTTATGCTAATAAAATATGGCTTAGGATAGTCTATAATATTTATGCCTTTTTGTTGTAGAAATTCCAAAGCCTCCTCCTGTTACATCTTATCTTTTGGGAGATTTTCTGTTAGCTGTCTCTACAGGTCTGTCCATTAGATAACAAATATTCTTATTTATCCTTGAAGTAAACTTAAGAATTTGTCTCTTCTATTCTGGATAGCTTTGCCGTCACTGTTAACCATTGTCACCCACTTTCTGTTAGCATTCAGAAAACACTTGTTATTGTATTATATGTCCTCTGGCTTTTGTCAGAAATACACTGTCACTCATTCCCTGAAAGACAGTGGAGTGCCCAGTCCCTTCTGCTTCAAGATTTTTATCTTTCTTTTTGTAAATGTTCCTGCTAACTAGAAAAAAAAAAGTTTAGCTATGAATTATTTATTTGGAATTCTCAGTTAAGTTCCTTCAATTTTTTTGTTTTTGCTTTTCTTGACAGGGTTTCTCTGTGTAATAGCCCTGGCTGCACTGTAGCCCAGGCTGGCCTCAAACTAAACTGCCTCTGCCTCCTGAGTGCTGGGATGAAAGGTGGATGCAACCACACATGGCTTAGTTTCTTGACTCTTTATGCTACTATCTTTTGCCAAATCTAGCACATTTGGTGATGATTTCGTCAAACAGTCAATGAGTTTAACACCCTCTTTCTGCTCTAGACTCTGAGGGTAGCAGCGATCAATGCCCAGGTTTTTTCATTATTAAGCCTTGTCCTTCCGAGAATCTGCTATTCTTTTCCAGTCATTCTTCACTATTATTCACATGACTGAACTGGATAATTTCTACTCATTTTGCCAAATTCACTGATAACCCTTAAGGATGGAACCCAGCACAAGTGTTCTACTGCTGAGAACATCCATCCCTACCTTTGATTTGCTGACTGCACCCCATTTTTACTACTTTAAATTTTTAAACATATTTATTTATCTATATGATGTATATGCGTGTTTTGTCTGCTTGTAAGTCTGCACACCAGAAGAGGGCATCTGAGCCCACGGGACAACACTTATAGATAGTTGTGAGCCACCATGTGAGTGCTGAAAATTTAACTCAGGACCCCTGGAAGAGCAGCCAGTGCTCTTAACCATTAAATCATCTCTCCAGCCCCTTGTTTTAATTTCTTCTTTCTTTCTCTTACCGAGAAAAGGTTTCAATTCTGTAGGGCAGGTTGTCTTTGAACTCACTATTTCAGCAGGAAAACCTGGAATACGTGGCCTCCTGAGTCCTGGGATTACAAATGTGTACTGCCATGCTGACAAAATTTTACAAGATGTACAATTAACATTTGGTCATTTTTTAATAACTTTTGAGATTTTTCTAATTTTCCTTTTTAAATTTTATTTAAAACCATTTTCGGGGCCTGGAGAGATGGCTCAGAGGTTAAGAGCACTGGCTGCTCTTCAACCATCTGTAATGAGATCTGATTCTCTCTTTTTGTGTACAGGCAGAACACTATATACATAATAAATAAATATTAAAAAATCTTTAGGGAGGCCTGGCGGTGGTGGCACACGCCTTTAATCCCAGCACTCTAGAGGCAGAGGCAGGCGGATCTCTGTGAGTTCAAGGCCAGCCTGGTCTACAAGAGCTAGTTTCAGGGCAAGCACCAAAACTACAGAGAAACCCTGTCTCGAAAAGCAAAACAAACACAACAACAACAAAAAACAAAAACCTTAGAGGCCTGAAAAATGGCTTAAGATAAAATCATATGCCCTGAAACCCAACAACCTGAGTACAATCCCTAGGAACACCTGATGGAAGGAGAGAATGGAGTCCTTCAAGTTGTCCTGTGGTTACCACATGATGCTCACAACTGCCCAAATGCTCAAATCCCCAAGTAAATAAATGTAGTAAAGTGGCTCTGAAAATAATTTACAACTTTTATTTTTGGTGCACACTGTGTGTATGTGTGTGTGGTATGAGAGTGCTAGCTCATGCATGCCACTGTGTGCCTGGAGGGAGGTCAGATGACAACCCTGGTTCTCTCCTTCCACCTTGTGTGTGTGTGCCAGGGACAGAGCTCAGGTTGCCAGCAATGTCTTTATCTACTAAGTAAATCTCATTGGGCTTTGTTTTGTTTTTTAAGAAAACTTGTAACTGTGTTAAAGCAACTTTTTGATGTCTGCTTTAAAATTCTAATACTGTATTGAAGCAGGCAATCACTCTCCTATATTTAGCATGTAGGTTCTGGCTAAGTTCAAGTGGAATTTAGTATTTAGAGCCCTAGCGATAAATTCTGACCTGCTGTGTCCTTTTGGCCCTACTGAGGCTCTCAATCCACATTGCTATTGCTTGAAGAATTGAAAGCAATTCCTTGGGTTACTGAACATTCCTAGTACTAGGTAGGAGCTAAGTAACAATGTACTCCCTCCTGGGAACAAGAAAGCAGCTCCTGGACTGTTCTCTGGCATGTGGGGTGGGCTGCTGTTCTATTTGGTTGGCCTTGTTCTGCTGCTGGGAAGGAGGTAGGAAAAAACCCTCAAAACTGCCTCTGGGTAGAAAGGACTGTCAGACAAGTAGCTCATAGATATCCATAACACGATTACTTGGTGATGACAGGGGACGGGTGGGCCTCCCTGCAACTGCTACCATTGTGAATGGGACAGGGGAACAGCTGCTTCTGCTGAGAATGCAACAATGTGTCAAAACCTCTACCATCACAGGCAGATTGCCCAATTCTGGGTATATGGAGG